CTCTGCTGAGGCCACACACCCTGGACAGAACAGGAAAGGAGAGGTAGTGCACACCCCCATTGTACTGCCAAGTTCACAGTATTCGTTATTTCCTTCTGTTATGGGTACATTCACAAACCTCCACCTATCCTGGTAATTAGACCATATCACGTAAAACAGCACTGCTAGGATTCTCTGTAATAGGTAATGTTGTTTTTAAGAAAAGTTTATTTAAAGGTTTTACAAACATTCCATTTTTTAATTAGTCTTTCTCTGGTGAGGCTGAAATCTTGACAAAGGCACACCCAACACTAGCCTAAAAGGAGGTAGATTAATTTACAAAACTGAAAATTCAAGCCCTATATTTTGAGATCACATGAAAATACTTAGATTTTTCATGGTCATGTACAGATATAAATTTTGTTTTTCTTTTAATGTATTGTGCACCTTTTCCACACTATTCCACATACTCTTATAGATACATAAGCATACAAACATTATTTAAGGAGAAAGGCTTCTCAGATCATTTAATCTCGTCCTGTCAATACTATCTTTTTGTATTCCTAAACGTTGTGTTTTTTTTAATTTAGGATACCACAGAGAGGCAGGCACCAATATATTATCCCTGTCATAAATAGCAAAAGAGAATTTTTTTTCTTTTTTACTAAACTCCATAAATATTTAGAAGACCTATATGTTATATATGCCTTAATATAAAAAATACATGGGTTGTCATAGTCTACAGGAAATATGATAAATATATTTACTTTCAAGTATTTGAAGGATGACTAGCAAACCATAAATTCAAACAAAAAATTTAATATATATTCACTATTTAAAAACTCATTTTTGATAATTTTTCATCCTATATATATTTAGCATACAGTGGCCTCCTTTGACACTCACAAATTGAATCACATCTTTTCCTAAGAAATAATTAGATATAACTAGCTTTGTACCAGCTTGAAAAAAAAGGCTGTATCTCCAGAAAGAAATGGACTACAGAATCAAATAGTGAAGCCCTCAGTTTTCTAAATTCTCCTTGAATTATGTGTTTATAATACAATTTAAATATTTTTAGTGAAAATATATTTCCAGGAAATCTGCCCTATATACCTATGTATGCACAAACTAGGTAAACATGCAGCAGATATAGAGATTTATGGATTATTTCACATCTTGAGTTATCCATATTTTTACTTACCCTCCCTCTATCTACAATGACTCCATGAGTTGATTACTCAAACCATGTTCCTTAAAAAATTTACTCAAAATGACTGCTTTAAATTAATGTATCTTAAGACTGAAATTAATTTCCTGCTGTAGCTACAAAAAAGAATATTTAAAATTTCAAATGTTCCTTGTTATTCTACTTCCAGACTAAGGTGAAGTAGATGAAATTCTCCCTACTTTTCTCAGTAAGTACAGCTAAAGGGCCTGGACATTATATTTAAAACAAATGTAAGAAGATTCTAGTAGGTGGTGAAAAAGCGGACAGCCTAGGCACCCAAGGAATAACATGCAGAGGTAACTTCTGTGAGTTTTCTTTGAGCCTCATGCATACTTAACTGGGTAATGGGATCACCAGCAACCAGGAAATGCCAGTGGGCACAAACAAACACATCCCCAGGAAACACCATCCCTCTCTAGGCAAAGGACCATGAAATGGGCAGAAAAACACCTTTTAGATAATAAGCACCTAATGACAACCATGTGTCATGGGAAAAAAAATATGACCCCACCTCCAGCTCCATGAGCAAAGGCCAAAGTGCTGAGCCCATACGTCCATCCTGGCTGCCCTGTGAGGTGGTAACAGAGAAAACCATGTGGCATGGAGGTGTTTGCATCCCCGCCCAGAGGTAAGGCTTTCTCTCCTCATCCTTTCCTGTGTCAGAAGAAGCTGTGTGGGAACCATTCAGAGGTAACAAGGCCACCCGGCTCCATGGTGTGCGCTGCCTCCATAATGGCTGCTGCAAAACAAATGCTGACCACTATCTTCACTTTTCACCTTTTTACCTTTTTTTGTTTTTAAAAAAGAGAGAGAAAATCCTCTTCAGATTTCTTTCAGTTAGTAAAAGCAGGTGCTAATGTAGGTTTTTTCATAAAAGCAAAGTGGCATAAGGCGAAGTTCCGAAAGTAGAGGTTCCCTCTGTGAGCTAAACAGCATGCCTGCCTGTTGGCTATGAGACCTCCTAGTACATTTTTCTATCACTTACTTAGGGAAGGTGATATAATACTCCATAAGCTAGTTTACTTTTTTATTCATGGGGTATAAAAAGGATAGAGGCCCTTCTTGATTCTGAAGTAAAATCATCTGAAAACAAGAAGATTTCTTTGGAAGTACTGTTTCCTGCAAAAAGGAGATCTTTTCAAATTGAATATTAGTTTTAAAGATTCAAGCTGTGGCTTAAATTGCCACCATTAATAACAACAGCAGTAAAACAATGATAATGCCACTTGGAATTTATATGGTCTTTACTGTGAAAAGCTCACGTGCGGTATGGTTAGGTTCTAGAGGGTTTCTCAGGTATGTTTTGTTCCCATTAATAGTTTGAGAAACTAAATTTACAAAAGCATATGTCACACTAAAGGGCCCAGAGAAAACACACAGTTCTGTCAGTATTCAGTACTGTGCCTTCTAACAAGCACCATAATTCCAAGTATGAGTGGGGCTGGTAAGTGTGGTCATCCGCAATGTAATTAGCGTTTGGTGAGCAGGGTGCATTATATTAGTTCATTCATTCATCCATTCAAGAATATTAATTGAGCCCACACTACATGCCAAGTATTGCTCTAGGTACTAAAAAGGAAAGTTTCTAAGCTCTGGTGGGGATGTGAGAGGGTACAAAAAATAAACAAGTCAAAATAAAATATCAAGTAGAGATAAGTGCTATGAGGGACAAGGAAGCAAAGCAGGAGGGGCTGCAGAATGCTGAGCGTATACATAGCTCTTCTTTTCTGTGGCATGGTCAAGGAGAGCCTCCACAAGAGGTGGCACGTGAGCAGGGATCTGAAGGAAGTGAGGGCTCTCTGAGAGCTGTTGAAGTATAATTTTCAAAAAGTTAAAATGTGACTCATATAAATGTAAACTAAACATATGCTAAAGATTTATTCTACTCATTTATTAATAAATCACTTGTGTTAAGACTAAATGAATCAAATGAATACATATATATATTTTTTTTTTTTTAAATAATGGATTGTTACTCTAAGAAAGAGGGCTAGGTTAGAGACTAAAATGGTAAATGTCTTATAGGGCAATAAACTACTCTTTGAAGTTATCTTGTCAAACAAGCAGAAATTATTTCCGTCTCCTCTGGGGAAAAAAATTAACTAACATGTACTATCAATACTTCTGAGACTTTTAATCAGTAGTAAATCATGATTCAAATAAAGTACATTCTCCTAAGTAATCCTTGGGTAGGTCTACTAAACAATGTCCCCATAAGACACTGAAAGAACACACTGCTTAGCCTTTTCCTTATTTTCATGTTTTCCTTATTTTCATCATTTTTGAAAGAGCCATGCAGCTATTTGGGGGACGGGCACTGCAGGCAGAGAGACTGTGACTAAATTATAAACCACTTCCCTCCACTCATCACTCCAACAGCCAAGGAATGCCCTCTGCAACAGGCTCACACATCCACCTGGACCTTACGAAGTTTGTTACAAGTAAATAGTTGGGGGTAAACTGGAAAAGTTGGAGAAGCCAGAAGATTTACAATGGAAGGAGGATGAAAACTGAGGCTGAGAAATGCTTTGATTTACACTTTTGAAAACACTAGTCTACTTGCCGAAATAAAGACTCATTAAGGAGAAGATGAATAGAAGCTAGAAGACTACTTAGGAGACTTAAAATAATCTAGGCAAACAAATACACGGTTGGTCAGGTGAAAAAAGTGCTATGGAGGAAAAAACAGTATAATATGGGAAGGTTGGTAGGGGAGTCAGTGTTGTCTGGAAAGTTCTCTCTGATAAGGTGATATTTGCATGGGCACCTAAATAATATAAAAAATAAAACATATTAGAGGGTAAAGGACGTCAAATATATGATGATGAAAAGAGAGCTGACTCTGGGTGGTGAACACACAATGCGACATATAGATGATGTATTACAGAATCGTACACTTGAACCTATGTAATTTTACTAAACATTGTCACCCCAATAAATTTTAATTGAAAAAAAAAAAAGAAAGAAAACGTGCAGAAAATTAAGGGAAGAGTGTTCCCGATAGAGGGTTAAAGCAAAATGATTGAGGAGAAAAGGCAAGGAAAAGACAGGGAGAAGCGATAAAAAAATATAGGGCCTTGCAAACCATTTTAAGGACTTACTTGACTTTTAGTTTGGTTGAGATGAGAAGCCACTGAAGATTTCAGAGCAAAGAAATGACAATCATCATTAAATACTAAACAGATGAAGGTGGCTGCAATGTAGAGAATGGTCTGTAGATAGGCAATGACAGAAGTGTAAAAATTTGTTAGGAGATATTTTAGTATTCCAAGGGAGAAACAGAGATAGGTAGTTAGCAGTGACTTAAGGATAAACAGTCGAAACCTGGATGTTTTGAAGCTAGAGCCAACAGGTTTTCCTGGAGGAATAGATGTGAAAAGTACAAAAAGGAAGAAATGTGGGTTTCAGCCCTAGCAATTGGAAAGATAGAGGTGCCATTGACTGAGATGGGGAAGCCTATAGAAAAACACAAATTTATTAAGGAAATTTAAGGAGAAGAGGAGGAAACACTGACTACAAACAATTTATGAAAAAAGTTAAATATCTCAATTTGGGGTTTACAGGATTCTAAACACTTTTCAAATGTAATCACAAATAAGAAAAATTAGAATGCCCAATTTCCAAATTTCATCCATCAGAAACAGAATATTTTCACCAAACTGGTCTCAAACAACTAACCCTCACAGCTTCTCACAGATTCATACTTTGCGAAATGGCGTTTGTCATTAATTTCATCCATGTTGGTCAATATTTTACATATTTAAGTATTTTATCCCACATTCATGAAGTATTTATTGAGCACTTTTTGAAACTATATTACATGTTTCATCAAGAGGCCTACATATTAAATTGTAAATACACTAGGTTTACCTGAAGTTCTTTGTATCTATCTTGAAAAGAAATGGCATCTTGTTCTTTTTCTTTAAGGAAATCTTTTTCCAAGATACTGTGCTTTTCTATCAATGATTCCACATCCTAAAAAAAAAAAAAAAATCCAAGCGCAAATTATGTAATATTTAATGGCATAAAATATATATAGTTTTTTCAATGACCATACCAAAAAAATATTTGGTAAGGAAAGAACCCATAGGAAATATGGTTTAAAGTTCTGCAATCAACAAAGTCTATGTCTATATATACTTCCTATAAATTTGCTAAGGTCTTTTTACAGATCTATTTGTAGGAAAGAGAAATAAGAACACAAATAACTTACTAAAATAGCTGTGTATCTAAGTATTCTTGTCAAATATCCCATGATGCCTGACTTCCTGTCAGGACAAGACAATGTTACAAATTTCTAAACTGTATAAGAAATACAGTACTACTAGCTTTCAAGGAAAATAAAAGTAAACCAAAAGGAAAGCACTAGAGGAAGAAAAAAATGTAGTAAAAGATGTCCACATTTTTAAAAGTACACATTTAAGACTAGAGATTTCCTATCAAAGACTTCTAAAAGTGATCAACTCCTATGATGGAGATAAACCTACGGTCAAGGTAGGACAGTACCTTTTTCCACTGATAAGGTTTTAATCAGAGATTGGGATTATTTCATATTTCCAGAATGTGCCATTCAAACATTTGTATTTTTAGGAAAATGTAAATATACCTTTTTAATTCTTTGTTTTTCTTCTTCAGAAACTTTGAGTTTAATCTCCAGATTTGAAATTTTCTGCTGAAGCTGTATGTTGGATACATTGGCTCCAGGATTCTCAGCCTCATCCACATGAGCAATTGTTCCATTACTTTTCTCATCAGTTAAACCCAATGGAAAAAGTGAGATATCCAGATCAGTGTGTGTTGATTGCTGAATCTAAACCACATTAAAAAAAAATATATACAAGAGGGGAAAGTTTACACTGCATGAATAATGAAAACATCCAAAGGGCACCAGAAACCACATTTGGAAATTAAGTTGTAGCAAGGGTTCCGAAATTATTTCACCCTTTAAGTCAAATCAACAGAAGACCTCAAACTGTTACAACAACCTGATCTTTGCAGTAAAACACAAAATTCCTCTAAACTTTTGAGTTTAAAGCACTTATTATTTTGCTAGCAAACCACTAAAAACTTAAAGCTTTGTCTTATGCTCGAAAGTGTATAATTAAGTACAGACACATCTGATACTCACCAGTTCTTGAATTTACACACACACACAGAATTTGCTTATATATTAAACTGTAAATCAGAATTTGAAATTTATTAATAACCTCTAATTCATCATTACTCTCTAGTAAAGATAACAGGTGACTCAAGATTGTACAGCATTTTGAAAATTTGGACTAACTACAGCATCTAGCACAAGGCCTGGATGAATAAATATTTGAATGAATAAACCCTATCACTGCCATCATTTTGGTTTTTACTCTAAAATTGAAAAAAATGTTTTGATACCCGAAAACATAGAATAAGCTTCCCTGAAAAGAGAAATAATTATTCTTTTTTTTGTAATTATTTTACCTTCGGAAGTTCAAGATTTGAAGTGCAAAACTAAGTCAATTTTAATAAATGAGACACTCAAACCTTATTTTGCTAAGTAAGGCTACTTAAATACCTTGCAATGGTGCCACAAAATAAATATATTATTCAGTTTTTTTAATTCTACATATTAACTTCAAAGTTAAAATATCTACAGAAATATTTCTTTCAGTAAGTTAAAAAAAGAAATCAGAAGAATTAAATTAGTATGCATTTTTTTTAAGAATGCAAATCTCCTTTAAAAATATACTTGTATTTACCTGTGCTTTAGGAACAGTTTGATTGACAATGCTGTTGTCTGCATGCGTAATCTCTGGTGATGAAATGATGGGCTCAGAAGAGAGGCAGCCAACAGAAGAAGAGTAGTCATGGTCCAGTACAATTGAAGAAGCTGGAGAAAGACGAACTCCAGACACTACAGGAAAACAAACACACAAACAAATTATTAAAGAGAAAATAAAGAGCACGTTGAAGGGAAGAAAGAGAGTGGAGGGAGAGAAAGGGAAAAGGGCAAGGGAAGTAAAAGCAAAAAGACTGAAAATGAAGATTCTATGACTATTCCTCAAGGACCATTACCTGAAATCGAAAACTAGGGTTTCTAAATTTAATATGACATTTCCACGTGAGACCCAGGCAAACAAAATAATGTCTTAGTGCTTACATATTAACACATTACCATAGAAGTGCATTTGCAACTCAGAGAAAGCATTCAGACATATTAGCTATCTATAAGTTAGTTAAGAAACAGCTCGAGCACGCCTACTAGTGCCAGGTACAGGCACTAAGCACTGAGAAGGCAGTAGGCAAGACAAGCATCCATGTCCTCGGTGACCTTATGACCCGGCGGGTAAGTCAAACCAATTCTTTATTACAATAAATGAGTTCAGGGGAAGAACAATTACTTTAAAATAACTAATCCAGCTGTCTCCGTGCTAACTTCTTTTACAACAAGAGATTCTTCATGTTAAAGTCAATTTCAGTTTGCTGAATTGTTTCTATAGAAAAATAATGTTGAAATAGAATTCTGTAACTAGTGTCACAACAAAACATTATTAGGTTGTGAGTACGGTTTCAATATAAAGGTCATGAAAGGAAAGCCAATTGCCAAGTATGAAATAAGACAAAAATATTGATCAGGGCAAAATAAACAGATTATATTTACGTTACTTTATTTCCAAATTTTCTTTCAAAAAATTCAAATACATTTATGCATATTATGTGTTTTAAAGTTTAAGAATAAATTAGTTTTAGCATTAATCCATTTATACATTTTGACTTTCTAAATTATAGAGCCCTTTATTCCACATTGGCATCAGCGGCAACGTCAGCAAAGTTCTACATAAATTCTGGAAGGCAGCTCACAATGGAAATTGTATTTTTGCCTGAAGAAAAACATTTATATGGTCATTAGGTATTAATAAACTAAAGACTATATCAATCTCTGATTGGTAGCCTATGGGATCACTTAATTACTTTACGTAAACTTTTATTTCATGACAGTATTGTGTTTTTAAAATACTATGTGCCATATTGGATAAGGTATTCTGGTTTATCCCATAAGCATTTCACTATTTTACCTAAATACAGAAAACTGGAATTTCAACTCATGTTCATACTTGATATATCTTTTTCAGAAATTACTTTTTTCTAATATTCACTATTCCACATGCTAACGAATTTCTCTAAAATGTCCAAATATTCTAACTTCTAATTATAAATTATAACCTATAACAAAAATATTGCTACTTAATTTTAAAGGAATGAAAATTAGTACTATAGTATAATATAGTATAAGAAAAAATATAGCCCTGTTACTAAGAGCATAGGTTCTGGAACAATATTGCCTTACCAGGTATAGAAACATTGTCAAATTACTTAACTTCCCTCGATTTCCTCATCTGTAAAATTGGCATACAGTTATCATTGAGGTCTAAATTGATTAAAATATGTAAAGCTTTTAGCACTGTGCTCAAATTATTTTCATTATTATTTCAAAGATTAAAATCTGTTGGACAAGTATGTTTATTTCTGATCATAAAAGGTATGTGTGATTATGATCCTGAGTTCAAGAAACACTTAAAAATATAACTTTGATCTAACACCAAAACGTTTTAACATCTTTTTATGTCTTCCTATTCATAGCCAAAAATCTAAGACAAGATGTGTCATGCTGACCCTAGATAAATTCTCAATCTGTAAAATTAAATGTTCAAGTACCGTATTTCCCCATGTATAAGATGCTCCCATGTATAAGACACACTTTAATTTTGGGGCCCAAAATTTGAAAAAAAATGTATTACATCAAGTTACTGAACTCAAGTTTTATTCATCATAAAATTCATGCAACTCCTCATCACTGTCAAAATTCCCAACCATTAGCTTGTCCTCATCTGTGTCTGATGACGAATCACGGTCTTCATATATTGCCTCGTCCCCAGTTCCATATATGGCATTTGAAATCTACAACCACTGTATAAGACGCACCCAGTTTTTAGACCCCAAATTTTTCGAAAAAGGGTGCGTACTATACATGGGGAAATACGGTGTTATCATATTAGAGAAAAGAGGAGGGAAAGTGGATAGCATAAAGGAAGGGAGGGGGAAATATGGATGAGAGATAAACAGGGGGAAGGGAAAGGGAGAGGCTGAGAAAGGGAAGCAGGAAGAGGCAAAGAAGTCACCCTCGACCTCACACTTCCTACCAGCTTCCAGCACCTGCCCCACTTTCCCTTCACACCCAAACGTCTTATCTCCAAATGAGTCCTGTCTCAATTTTCTTCTTACCCAACCCTTATCACTCCACTGGATCTATCAATTAAGATATTAATTTTCCTTTCAGTTGCTATTAAATCAAATGAACACTTCTTGTTTTATCTTTCTTTAGTTCTCCACAGTACATAATACTAATGACCCTCCCTTTATCTTGAAATTCTTCCTTTGGCCCCTGAGAACCACTGTATCTTAAATTACCTCCTAATATTTTGACTACTTTTTTCCTTTTCAGGCTCTTTCTCCATTCAATCTTAAGATTCATTGTTTCCTACATGCTCTGATCTTCTCAATATTCACATTATTCTTACTATTTTCAAAACATATTATTTAAATTATCACCTATAAGCTAATGACACCTAAATTCACATGTCTAGCACTGACCACTGTGCAGACCTCCCAGATGCATATTCTTGCCTAACTACCATACAGTTCCATGTAACTATCTAGCAGACACATCTAACTTACCCATTATCTTATGTGAACCTTTGCTTCATGTTTTCCATTTTAGTTAGTAGTATCTCAAAGAACTATTTGCCCACGCCAGAAATGATAACACTCAGGGCCATCTTCCTTCCAGTCACACTGTGCTACTAACAGTTCCCTGATTATGCCATATTGTTCAACACCTCTGTGACCTCACAATATTACTGCTTCAGTAAAATTCATAGCTATGGAGTCAGAAATGGGTTCAAATTTCAACAATAACAACGTACTTGTTATGCAGCCTTGGGCACCTTACAAAAACCCATTCTAAACCACAGCTCTCCTCTTATGAAAATGGGGAAATAATATGTACTCTAAATTATGTTTTATACAGAATCAAGGAAATGATAACAAATATTTAGGGCAGTGGTTTCCCCTGGGAAAGAAGAGAGGAAGAGGTCTAGAATTGGTAATGTTCTATATCTTAAGTTAAATGACAGATTCATGAGTGTAATTTTAAAATATAATAAAGAAAAAATTACACATGCTTAAAAATATAATGCTGAAGACTTCTTGTTTCAGTGACCTTCCTGGTTGTAGTACTCAGCTCCCCTGAGCTACATTATCCCATGAATCAAAACTCACTTTGGATAAGTAAGATAAGAAAAACCCCTAATCTAAACTAAAGGCGAATAGGGACCAATAAGTTTATTCAAAGAAATGATGCTTTTGTGAAAACATGTCAAGAATTCTCAATAGACAAATAAACACAAGATTTGGAGTTGGAAGCCTTTTTGACATCCTGCTAATCATATCAATATTTATTCCAGACAAAAGGAAGGTTGAACCTAAAATGATTATAGTTTATATGTGTTTTCAACTTATAAGATACTAGCAGGATTTTAAGAAATTTGTTTAACTTGACAACATAAATGTTCACTGAATACAAGTATATCATAATCCACATTCTATTTTTAAAATAAAATGAGTGAACAAATGAGTTGTGCTGTGAAAGGAAAGGGAACGTATAATAAATACAGAGGGTGCCAAAAAAATTCATACACATTTTAAGAAAGAAAAAAACTGCATTAAAATTGTAATACTCAATATATACCGATAACAAAAGATGAATACAAATCATACGTATACATTGTTTTAGCACACCTGGCATATTACCCTCTAAATGGAAATTAGTTGTTTTGGGTTTTTTGTTGTTTGGGTTTTTTTCGCTATGGTAGAATAAATGTATCTTCACTGAATTTTAGCTATTCAACAACTAGCTTTAAAAAAATCCATGTTGGTCAATACTGTCCCCATCTGTAGATCCAAAATATTATTAATAATTTTGATGGCATACATGTTTTATGCATGTTTGCTTAACAAATGGAAATTTTTAAGCTTAATAATAAAAAACTACAAATTGCAGTATGCAAAATTTAATTGTTTTCTTACCTAGCCAAGAAGATTCAATTTTTAAAGTTTCAAACTGCTACAATATTCTTAGGTCTATCAAAAGTTGACTGATGTCAGCCTTCACACCCAAAATCTTTATATTCAGACCAAATGTGACCAACAGCACCAAACTCAGCCAAAATTTTTTCAAGTGGTAGAAATTCACAAAATTTGTTTATTTGGCTATTTTGTTTGTTTGCTTGATTTTAATTCTTAAGAATACAGAGACAGTATGTTTCATTTCAAATGTAAAATCTTTGCTTTCCTAAGACTTAGAGGAGACAAGGTCAGCATACATGCCTTTCCAGCTATAAAGCTAATCAAAAGTGCAATTAATGGCAGTTCTTCATCTTTAACTTTGTTAACTGTAACTGGCAAATCCATTGGCTATATCATTTTTTATTAATGGATCTCTTCTAAAACACAAAAATAGCCCACTATGTCAGAATACTACACAAGCAAAAGAAACCAAGTTTCCAAATAGTATGCAATTATTTTTTTACCCAGTAATTCTGCCTGTGGTCAACTGTTTTGTTTCCATAAGCATAACTCTTATAAATCTAATAAGAATAGGTATAAATACTCATGCATTTTTTTACTATACCCAAAGAAATCTGCTTATCTCTGTTAACAGTTAAATAATTCAAGAGTAGACCAATAAAATGATAATGGTTTTTACAACTTTTCACTTAGAAAATATTTTTAGTCTTTAATTTTCTTTCAAACAGTCTTACCCAATGCAGGCTTCCCTTTTTCACCATCCTTGCA